ATAAGGCCCACCCTGCACTGCAGAGGCACTTACACAGACAAATCAACACTTTCCCTACATATCTATATATCTCTATATAGATTCCCTATATATCTCCTCAATATTTATTCCACTCTATATGCATCCGAAGAAGTGGGCTGTAGTCCACGAAAGCTTATGCTCTAATAAATTTGTTAGTCTCTAAGGTGCCACAAGTACTCCTGTTCTTTTTACTTTCCCTACTATACCTTTAGTAGAGTGCAGCTCAAATGACATTCCTAAGAGATTCCACAAAAGCTTAATGCACTTACTCGCTCATCACAATGCTCACCCTTATGGAAAAACAGTTCAGAAGTATACAGATTAAAAGAAACACCTCACCCACAGAGTCTCCTGGAAGCTGCACGGAGGGGGGGCAAAAGCACACTGAACTGGTTATGTACAGCGAAGGCTCACCACTAGACGTCTCCCTACATACTAGACCAGGCAGGATCCTTTGAGAGAAAGAGAATTGGCAGTTAGTGTGGATAAGTGACCCAAATCCAGAGTTAAATCTGAATCACTTTCACATACAAGAAGACATTTCATCTGAACTGGATCAGTTAAGAAGAAAGACATTTAACTTTCTAGCAATAGCAGTTAGGATACTCATGTGAGTCAGAGCTATTCAACAGGAGTAACGGGGGAGAGGGGGCAGGATGGCTCTGTTGTAGTTAATACTAAAAAGTCAGATGGGATGTTTTTCTTCAGGGTCCTGTTGTCCCGTTGTAATGTTTATTCAGTCTCTTAGATAGCAGTTCATTTCAAAGTGTTCGTGAGACCTGGGGTTGGTTTGCCTGAGTATTATACAATTCATGGGTTCTCAGCCCAGAGAGGGGTTGCAACCAGATGTCAGGGAGTGCCTGCCAATACATGGGAGGAGGTCCCAGGGTGGAAAAGATTGGGGATCACTATAGTAAGTAAAGACTGGCCCTAATCCAGCCACTAGCTTCATCGGAGTGGACTCTTGCACCTTAATGGAACCTCAGTAGTGCTCGGTGTGGGAAGAAAGGTGCACCCACATGGATTGGGGTGAGAGAGATGCGAAGAGATCCAATCCCATCTCCCTGCCACTGCAGAATTGTTCCCTACAGTGCATTTTCTCTTGCTTTGTCTGGCCCACTTTGAAAAATCTACAGCAGTGGGGATTTCAGCACTTCCATTCTCTCTGCCAGGAAAAAAAAAAGAAAGAGGTTTATCCAGACAACACATTGTACACTGCAATTATTTATTAAACTGCTTTTCACTACCCATGGAAAAACGTGTTTCTCAGTGTAGACCCTGATGTTCCACTCATTCCAATGAAAATCAGGAGTGACTCCATCAGAGTCAATGGCATTAGCTAGAGGAAGAACCAAACCCTTCACATCTATTGTTCTACACTTGTTATTTCTTTGCTCTTAAATCTGACTGTTGTAATGAGAATTTTTTTTTAAAAAAAGGTAAGTTATAAAAAAAATGCAAATAGGATGCGTGGGTGCATTAATAAGGGATGTAAAAATAATCCAGAACATAATATAATGACAGTATTTGAACAATGGAGCCCTCTCGTTTGGATACTGTGTTCAGTTTCGGGTGCTACCTCTTAAGATCTAGCAAGTAATTCCCGACTTAGTGGAAAAGAAAACTGTGAAAAGAATGTAGAAGTGAATACTGGTGAGTTCATGTGGAAAAAGATGAATAGGACTGTAAGAAAGTCTACACTCAATGAAGGACTGAGATCTATTCAATTAAAAATTATCAATGCAAGTTATATTCCCCTTGCAAAATGCTGAAAACTGAATTCACTGACTTTGACAATTGCTAGAAATGCAACACCAGTGCAGGGAGTTTAGTATATAGTGTTATGTTGGAAAGTGTTAATGACTGCCATCAATCACAAACGACCTAGGTAAAGTTGATGGGTGTGCTAACAACCATTCTTTCGGGCTAAGTAAAGGAACAATTAAATGCCCCTTTGTGTAGCAATAGCTGAAACAAAAGAAGCCATTGCCCAAGGCACATGGCAAAGCCCGTGCAGCCTGGGGTTTCCCTAGGCAGGGGCGGCTCTAGCTTTTTTTGCTGCCCCAAGCATGACAGTCAGGCAGCCTTCAGCTGCATTGCTGAATTGCTGCCGAATCTGTGGACCTACCACAGGCGTGCCGCCGAAGGCTGCCTGACTGCGCCCTCACAGGGACCGGCAGGGCGCCCCATGCAGCTTGCCGCCCCAGGCACACGCTTGGAGTGCTGGTGCCCGGAGCCGCCGCTGTCCCTAGGGACCAAGCAGAAACACAGGGACTGGGGCATTGACTGGTTGCAGTGTGTCTAAGCAGAAAGCCAAGAGGAAGCCAGTGGTGAATGTGGCCCTAGGAGGAAGCCTTGGGGCACAGGACTGGCTGGAAAAGACAAACTTGCCTTTCTGAGCAATGAAACTGCCTGCTGTTTGTTCCTACTGTGTCCAGGGAAACAGCACTTTGTGTACATGTTTTGTAAATAAAAGTGTGTTGCACAACAGAAATACCTGACTATCATCAATTTCTCCTCCTAACAGAGATAGCCTGGCAAGGCCCCAAATAGTGCCTAATCACTCAGGCCAAGGATCAACAATATAGTCTGGATTTGCATGGATCCTACTGTCACAAGATTACTTGCTACTCCAGCCCTTTGAGGCAAGAGGGGCTTTTGGCAGTTCAGGGAGGGAGTTCATTTCTTTCTTAATTATTTTCACTCATATCTTAGGCAATTGTTCACATGGTCACAGTGCTCCGTCCTGCGGATATTGCTCCCAGGCTTCCTGCTCTGGCTAGCTATGTTCCTGGAATCCCTTATATGGACCGTTAACATGTTGTGTTATACATTGCACCATGTATTTGTTTTGCTGTATTGATCTGAGGGGGAAATAATTATATATTTAAAAACCAGTGAGATTGGCAAGGCCCAGAGAAGGCCAAGGAAGCTGGTTAGAGATATAATGAGGTTTGCGTACAAGGAGAAATTGTAAACTCAGGATTTATTTAGTCTTATAAGGGGAAGAATCATAGAGGAGTCAACTGAGAGATTTTTAGATCCTGAAGGGTACAACAAAACCAGATAATCTTTACACTGCTCCATTCTACTATAGCAAGGAGACGTTGAATGCAGCTAACGGCACGTGGGTTTAAAAGAAATAAAAGACTATCCAGCTTCATGCTGTAGTATGTCTCATGATGGAGACAAATCATGATTCCAGTGAAGTCTTCATTGAAACTGCTGGACACCCACAAACACTAGCTCACAGACCCAGAAACTCAGCTTGTACTGCTCACAATCTCCACACACGATCCATCTAGATCTCGGCCTAGATTAACAATTTTGGAACAGACTGCTGATTGCATTGCACCCCCAGGGCTGGATCCTCAGTTTAAGTACATCGGCACAGTTCCAATCGCTTCAGTGGAGCAGCACCAATTGACCCAACTGAGCGCATGGTCCATTAACTTGTGGAAGTCAGTGAGGCAGGAGACCAGATTCCAGAATACAGGAGCCAGATCTTAAAAGAGATCGGATAATTTTATGACCAACAAACATTTATGATATAGTTGTACAGGGCAAGAAGTCATGGGCTAAAATTGCAACAAGGGAGATTTAGGTTAGACTTGAGGAAAACATTCTAATTGTAGGGGTAGTTAAGCACTGGAACAAATTACCTAGAGGGTTGTGGAATCTCTGTCATTGGAGGTTTTTAAGAAGAGGTCAGAAAAACATTTGTCAGGGATGGTCTAGATCAGGGTTTCTCAACGATCGGTCCCTGAGATTTCCCTGACACAGTTTAGGAAGGCAGAGCAAGCCAGTTCCTGGTATCAAAAAGGTTGAGCAACACTGGTCTAGAGAGATAACTAAGGGCTTGTCTACACTGGCAATTTACAGTGCTGCAACTTTCTCGCTCATGGGGTGTGAAAAAACACCCCCCTGAGTGCAGCAAGTTTCAGCGCTGTAAAGTGCCAGTGTAGACAGTGCACCAGTGTTGGGAACCATGCTCCCAGCGCTGGGAGCTACGCCCCTCATGGAGGTGGTTTTTTTAAAGCACTGGGAGAGCTCTCTCCCAGCACTGCACTGCGACCACACAAGCCATGTTAGCGCTTTAGCATTGCCAGTGTAGACTAGCCCTTAGTCTTGCCTCAGCGTGGAGGCCCCTTTCAGTCCTACATTTCTATGACACTATGCTAAAGGCCTGATCCATAATATCAATGGAAAGGTTTGCACTGACTTCAGTAGAGATGTATTGGGTTTTACAAAAAGAAATATTAAAATTGCATACTTCAAGTTATCAACTGATCTATTCAGGGAGCAGGAAAAATCAGCTCTTTCCTAGATATTGCATAGCTGTCCAGAGGAATTCTGAAACATCACGCCTGAGCCACCGCCAGAGACCATTAGTCTGATTAGGGACAACAGAAATGTAGGTACAAATCCTACATAGACTTCAAAGTATTTTTTGTAGAGAACATTTTGTAAAGGGAATTTTGATTAATAGATTCAAAAATAGACTGGCTCTGCTTCATACATATCAATGCCTAGCTACCTACACAAAAGGAATTAAAAGACAACAGCAATTAAAAAATAACCATAAAATTTAGCAATCAGATTGCATTATTTACAGCCATTAGAAAAGCAATAGCAGTGTCTAAGCCAGTTTGCCCTACCAGATGTAAACAGATACCATTTATTGTTTCCACTCATTTGAGTTTGCAGTTCTTGCACATCGTCCAAATTTTTAGATCTTCACTCAGTCATTAAAGATTTCTATTGGGCATGTTACTCATGCATTGTAGTTAAACCTTCAACCCAGACAGCATGAAGGACGTTTGATGTGTATTTGCACTGACTTATCTGAATAAAGGGAGAACTGTTGCTTTAAATTATGTTTGCAGTGACTCTGGAAACTAAAGTAAACAAAGTCCTAGGGAAAACTTTTGCTTTCCAACATGCAGTGATTGGTTACAGAATGCGCTGGGGCTGAAGGTTGTAGATATTGCCAGCAGTGATTTCCCTCTCCAAGAATCAGATCTTTGCCATAAGTACCTTTAAAAAATCTTTGGGAATATAGTACAGAGTCAGTGGATATATGTCCAGTGGTAAATGGATGGTAAATGACCACATGGAGAGAATGAACCAGCCATGACAGATTCTCATTAGCAGGTGAGTGAAATTCTATTTGGGGGTTGGGGGGCGGTGATTGATGATGTTGACAGGGCACAATTGTGAGGAAGGAATTTCAGCCAACAAACAAGGACATAAATAAGGAGTCCCAACTGACACAGGCAGGGTGCCATTGTGTGTAGCTTATACTGTTGGAATGCTAGTGGACAGAGAGGAAGGAAACACACCATTGGCACAGCACAGCCGGCACAAACAAGTCACGCAGGGCATGACTTACTCTGCTGGGAGATCCTTTGCACAAAACAGGCATTAACAATTTAGAAGAGAAAACATAAAGATCTAAGCAGCAAATGTTCCAGGCATCACCCACCCAAATGACATCTCTTCTTCCAGGCCCGTGTCACGGGTTGTGATTCTGTTCCTGACAGCTATTCATCTGCAACCTCTCACTAAAAAATTATTTTCCTTCTATTATCACCAGAATGAGCTTTCCCATTAGACTGCCAGTAGTTCAGCAGCAAAATCCTTGCAAAATTGTTCAGCATACAATACAGTAATCCAGCGGTTCTCAAACATCATTGCACCAGGACCCTCTTCTGACAACAAAAATTACTTCACGACCCCGGGGGAGAGGAGGGGGACCAAAGCCTGAGCCCGCCCGAGCCCCACCGCCCCAGGCGGGAGGACCAATGTCGAAGCCCAAGGGCTTCAGCCCCAGGCAGGGGGGCCTGTAACCTGAGCCCTGCCGCCCAGGGCTGAAGCTGAACCCCAAGCCCCACCGCCCAGGGCTGAAGCCCGTGGGCTTTGGCACCAGGCAGTGGGGCTCGGGCTTCAGCCCCGGGCCCCAGCAAGTCTAATACCAGCCCTTGCGACTCCATTAAAACTGGGTCAAGACCCACTTTGGTGTCCCGACCCACTGTTTGAGAACTGCTGATTTAATCTACTGTTTACCATCAGTGAAGTTTTATTTGTTTGTCTGTTTTATTTAAAATGCAAAGTCCACGGGGGCTCAAAATCTCATAAGAACAAGCTTTCTCCTGAGATTTCAGTCTATTGATGGGCTCAGCTGTGTCAGAGGCGCTGTGATATATTATCTCCTAGACTGGCACTTCCAGTCCTGGCTGAACGCAGGAAATTGCACTAAAATTAAATTTAAAAATTATGGTAGCGTAACACTTTTGAACCTGCAAAAAGGCCAGGTTGGTTCAGGTTCACTTTGAGAGATGGGTGAAGGTTCAAGTCAGTTCTGATTTTCTACAGACTGAGAAGTATTGATAAGTATTGATAAGTCCAGTTATGATTATAGGAGCATATGTAGAACAATATTGTCAGTGAACAGAAAAGTCCTGCCCAGAGATACACAGAGTACACATATTGTTATCCTCTGCCATGGTTAGGGGGACATTTTCAGTGCTGGGTGAAGGATTAGCCGTACAACCTCCATTAACTTTCACAGAGTTACCCGGCTCCAGCAGTTCTGTACTGAAAATTTACATTTTGAAATAACTTATTTAAAAATTTCTATACGCAGTTGTTACCCATCGTGTGCCTAGCCGCAATTTTTCAGACTTCTGAGTGGCTCTAATCCTTTCACAAGGCAACAGCCCTCTGAGGCCTGAAGTAACGCAAATTGACAGGAGCCAGTAAAAAACAAAATTGGACTCAGCCCATAGAAGAAATTCTCCCCACTGAAGCCATCCACCAAGGAAATGCAGGAGTACAAATAGGCCTAGGAGTGCATCCAGAAGATCAACAAACTTGGGCTTTGCCTATCCAATAGGGAAGCAAATTCCAGAATGAAGGTCGTGCTCCAAGAGCTTATCTGTACCGACACTTAGTGTGCCGCAGGCTGGGGCGTCAATCCACCCTGCACTGGCCTGCGGCACTCTAAACGTCCTTGTGGGCCCTGCTGCCGTGCACTAAACGTTCCCCGGGCCGCTTTAATCTACTCCCGGTTCAATTCAGAGTGGATCAAAGTGCACTGCAGAACTTTTAGTGCACCGCAGCAGGGGCCACATGGCTAGTTAGCGCGCAGCAGGCTAGCACAGGATAGATTCACAACTCAGCTTACCAGTGTCTGTGTTCTTATAGACAAGCCCTAAGAACATTCTGCAATTGGCCCAGTGTAAAAGTCATGGAGACCAACAAGAACAGTGAAGAGCTAGAATTCCATCGAAAGGACCTGGTGACATGCATTGTGTGAAGTGCACAGAGATCTAATCCCTGCTCTTTCAGGCTATTCTTGCTGTATTACAGTAGCGTCTAAAGGCCCCAGCCCAGATTGGGACCCCCGTCAAGTTATGTGCTGAGCATACACATAGCAGGAGACCGTCCCTCAACAGCTAACAATTTAAATAGACAAGACAAAGGGTGGGAAAAAATAAGGGTCCATTACTGAGGTCCAGGAAGATTAACTGACTTGCCACAAGGAGTCTAGCAGAGCTGGGAACTGAACCCAGATTGCTTGCCTCCCAGTCCATTGCTTGAACAAGACTCTCTAAGGTCATCCTACCATTGCCCAGTTCTCCCACTCACTTCCTAAAACAAGGCATTAGGGAAGTTGTTAGCAGAGCCCTGTGCCATCCTCTACAAGCAGAGGCCATTACTGCTACTGTATTAAGCTGGAAGGATAAAAAAAAATTAAGTGGCAGGGAGAGAGCTGTGGAGTCAGTTTCATGTCATGCTGCTGTCAGTGGAAAAGGTTTGAACCTAGGACACATCAGCCAACTATTCACAGCACAGTCTGTCAAAGTAATGCTTTGCTCCAGTTCCATTTCAACCATGTCTGCTTGCACTGTCAAAGCTAGCAAGCAGAGTCCCCTGCTAGCCTCATTAAGTGATGGAGCAGGGAGCAGGCTGGTGAGCCCTCACTCTGCGATACACTTGGACAGGACACTGGATGACAGGCTGGCGAAGGAGGATTTGACTGTGCTGTCCTTTTATTTGTCAGGCTAATACGGACAAGTGTTGTGCTCTGAGCCAATAATAAAAGTAGCGTTCTGATAAGGTACAGGCTAAATGTTGACGCATACAGGTCAAGTCACATTTATTTTAAACTATTACACTTGGAAGGGAGAAATTCTCGTGCCTGTAGCTATACAGCTCTGGTTTTAAGCCCATGTCTGGAAGTGAGGGGAAGTGCATGTGCACAGGATACCAGATGATCGTAGGGTAGCATCCAATCTTATGAGTTAGACCCTTGAGGTAGGTTCTGTAACTGACTGACCCCCCCAAGCCCTGTTTAGGGGGTGGTGCCATGCCACACCCACGGAGGGCTGGTTGCATGTCAGGCTGCACTCTCTGTCCCAGAGCAGCCTGGCACGCACACTGGGCCAGCCAGAAAGATAGTGCAAGATTGATCTTCAGGCCTTTTCCACAAGTTTGCACTTGGCCCTGCCTCCTTCTCCCTAATCATACAATCTAACCCTTCATCTGACTGTTGGGCTTGGCATGGAGGAGATTGCCTAAAGAAGAGTCTGGCTCTCATGACAGTTCTTTGATGTGGAGAAAGCACAAGCTGCAGTGACAAGTAAGGAGAGATTTATAAAACTCCATTAGGGAGTAAGCAGTATGGCAGAGCCCTGCAGCGGGATGGGCTCCCACAGGACCCACTGCCATAATAGCAGTAGTGGGTAAAATGTACTTTGTTGTGGGCGGGATGGGGTGGGCAAAAAAAAAACCAGTGGTAATTGCCCACTAAAACATTAATCTCTCATCAGTTTGTCATAAATAGAATTTCAGCAATGTAAAGTTGTTTTTTTAAAATAAAGGTTTTAATACTTCAATTTATCCAAGGAGTAGAAAGATTTGGTGTCTATTATAACAGGAGTTAAAGTATTTTTACATGGTTTAAACTATATATTTAAATATATATATATTTTAACCAACCAGGTTTTTTGTTTTTAGTGGCTTTAGGGGGCGGGGAGTGAGGAGAATCTGTCTCTCTTGTGGGATTTGCGGCATCTAAGTTTTTTGCAGGTGGAAGCGGAACAAAAATGCAAGAAACAATGTGGGAGCGGGTGGGAGTGGGACTTGCAGGGTGGGACGAGAGTGGGATTAAAAAAATAGTCCTACAGAGAGCTCTATAGTCCAGGTTCCTTTTCATACCTATCCCATATAGTTTATTGCCAGAAGCAAGCCTACAGTTCATTGAAAAAAGCCACAGTACACAGTTTAGACTTTGCCCATAAATGTTTCAGCCTTCAAGAGTCAAAGGTGACTGATTTAGAAGCGACAGTTCTGGGCCATGATGAAGTGACCTGGGTTTTAATCAGAAACAAAGACATGAGACGTGAGACTTAATGGCAGGCTGGCTTGTCAGGGTCCATGCAAACATGGCAGTAGGAGATGTGTCTGGTTTGGAGGTTTTTAACCAGGCTACGTAGTAGGCAGTCAGGCCTATTGCCCTTGGGACAGACAGCACTTGCAGTGCCCGGAAGAAAATTATAGCTGTGCCCATTTCTATTTCTAGATTTGCCCTGGTTACATGTGAGACACTCATTATGGAAAAAACAAGCACTGAAGGTTATTTCAACTACAAAGGAATAAGAACTCACTGGAAGTTGTACTGGAAACTATCCAGACTGTAGAAGGGAAAGAAGAGGGCTACGGTTAACCAAGGACTGAGTAACTGAGGCCATGTCTACACTATGGGGATTACAGTGGCATAGCTATGGCATAATCCCGTAGCGTAGCTGCACCCTGCAGTGACAGAACAGAAGTTCTTCTGTCCCTGCATGCTTCTGGTGACCTAGCTGCATCTAACCCGGGATTTGTGTAGGCAAAGCTATGGGGCTCAGGGGCATGGATTTTTCACATCCCTGAGCACTGTAGCTATGTCAGCCTAAGTTTTACGTATAGACAGAGCTGGAGAACTCTGCGGTCACTGAGCGGAGTATGTAGGCGAACAGACTGGCAGAAAAGGTGCTAAGAACGACACTAAGAATCCTATTGGGCTGGTTTCGACTTAGACTGGGTTTTGAATGTCAGGGAGATCTGAACTGCTATTACTGCTACGGTGGGCTAATCTTGTAAAAGCA